GTCTGCGCAGTGGGCGCGCCCCGGCCCCGCCGCCCGGAGGGATGGGCGTGGCGTCCACTGAGCCTCTGTCCTTTTCGTCCCGCAGCCACGTCCGAAGTGACCCCCAGGCTTGACCTTGAGGTCTCTGGCCGTCACTGTCCTCTTAGGACGCTTTTACGCTCATCTTCCTGACCCAGCCGTTGTGCCACTGGAGCCCCTATATCTGCCCGTTCCTGGAGCAATAAAAAGTGAATACCTATTTAAGAAAAAAAAAGCCTTAGCAGGTTTTGCTCAGTGGCTGTAGCTCTGCCCGCGGACTAGGTTCAATTCTGATCAAGGGCGCAGACCTAGTTTGCAGGCTCAATCCCCGTCCTGGTCAGCGTGTGCAGGAGGCAAGCAATCCATGTGTCTCTCTCACACCATGTTCCTCTGTCTCTTCCCCTCCCTAAAAATCAATGGGAAAATATCCTTGGGTGAGGACCAACAACAACAAAAGGGATGCTATTTCCACCCGTGGCCTGCAGATTGTCTCCTTCACTGTCTGTGCTTCTTAGCCACGAATGACTGAATCCACAAAGGGCTTGAGATCCCTTCTAGATGCGCTCGATTTTGAGTTATAAACTGTGGATTACATGCCTTTCAAAAAAAAAAGTTCAAACTATACTACGGAATATGTATAAAGTGTAATATCAGAAGAACATCAGAAGGGGGTGCTCATCGGGGCCAAATGAGAGAGGTCTAAAAATATTTTGGATTTGTCACCTGCCATTTCTATGGATAATGACAGATCTGAGTTTTTCATTTTAATGCACAACCGTTTCTTCTTTTTAAAGTATAATAAAATAAGTAATCGCAAATAGCCCTACTGCGTTTACAGATGGTCTTCTCTCATCTCTTCATGGCAGTGGTTCTCAACCTTGGCTGCACATTAGAATCACCTGGGAATCTTTTTAAAATCCTGATTTCTGGGCCCCATCCTCTGGAAATTCTGTTTTTTTGTTACTAATGTTGTGGCCCCACCCCATAACAAAGAAACAGAATTTCCGGAGGATGAGGCCCAGAAATCAGGATTTTAAAAAGATTCCCAGGTGATTCTAATGTGCAGCCAAGGTTGAGAACCACTGACCTAGAGGCAACCTGGCACCACAGAAGAGGCCAAGAGGCCATATGTTTATTTACTTATTTATTTATTTACTTATTTATTTCTTTATTTTACCACTTACATGTTTCTTTGGACTTGTTTGGATAAGTTA